TGGGAACCACTGTTCTAGGTAATCATCTAAGTGAGGCAATTGTTGAGAAGCACCTACTCAGGCCTGATTTTGAACACGAGTTTGGATGCATATTAAATATGTAAGCATAGCCTAGTATTTTTTACTTCTTTTACTTTTTAAAACACTTTATTATCACTTCAATGTCATACAATTCAATAATTCATTCATGTCCAGAAGAGTTGAACAATTATTACCACATTACATTCTAGAACACATTCTTCTTCATCATAGTCATTGTTATTGATGTAATTATTACTTTTCTAATTGTGGCAAAAATATACAGAACAAAACACTCTCCAATTCCATAACTTCTATATGCATAACTCAGTGCCATTGATTATATTGTACAACTATTCATGCCGTACAACTATATTTTTTATTTAATTAATACTTTTATTAGGGGCTCTTACATCTCTTATCACAATCCATACATTCAACCATTGTGTCAAGCACATTTGTATACATGCTGCCATCATAATTTTCAAAGCATTTTATTTCTACTTGGGCCCTTGATATCAGCTCCTCATTTTCCCCCCTTCATCCCCCACCCGCCCTCCCTCATGAATCCTTGATAAGTTATAGATTATTATTTTCATATCTTACATTGTCCTCTGTCACCCTTCACCCACTATTCTGTTGTTTATTTCCCTGGGAGGGGGTTACATGTTGATCCTTGTGATCAATTCCTCCTATCTCCCCCCACCTTCCCCTTATCCTCCTGGTATCTCTATTCTCATTGCTGGCCCTGAGTGGTTTATCTCTCCTGTACTGTAATGGAATGTGTGCAGCTAAAATGGCCTGGATTCCCTGAGTTGCAAGCAGTGTGCATGTTCTGGTCTAATCCAATTTGTAAGGGAGAATTGAAGTCATGATAGTGGTGGGGAAGAGGAAGCATTAAGGAAAGTTGTGTGTTTCATTGGTGCTATACTGCACCCTGACTGGCTCATCTCTTCCTTGTGACCCTTCTGTGAGGGGATGTCCATTTGTCTACAGATGGGCTTTAGGTCTCGACTCCATGCCCCCTCCCCCCACAATTCACGTTGGGTATGATTTTGTTCTGGGTCTTAGATGCCTGATACCTGGTCCCATGGACACCTCATGATCACCCAGGTTGGTGTGCTTCTTCCATGTGGGTTTTATTGTTTCTCAGCTAGATGGCCACTTGTTATCTTCAAGCCTTTAGGACTCCAGATGCTATATCTTTTGATAGCCAGGCACCATCAGCTTTCTTCACCACATTTGTTTATGGACCCATTTTTTCTTCAGGGCTCATATCAGGAAAGGGAGCATCACGGAATGCTGGATTGTTAGAACAATGTGTTCTTGTATCAAGGGAGTCTTGGAGTCAAAGCCCAATGTCCACCTGCAACCTCCATTCTTAACATATAGCTATAAGTACATAGATATGTTCCCTCTAGTTTTATATAAATATATTTACATGTGTACACACCTGTATTTAGACCTGTATAAATGTCCTTGGCCTCCTGGTTCTTTCCTCTATTTCCTTTTCATCTCCGAATTGTTTGTCCCGCCTATCTTATCTAAATAGACATGCATAGACATTAATAAGCACAAAAACCAGGCAAAGCCAAACAAAACAACAAAGGAAGTCAGCACCAACAAAATGAAACAGTACCAATAACAACAAAAGAAAAACAAACTAACCACGAAAAGAAAGTCACTGATCAAAATGGAAAAGCCTATAAATCATTCAAGCTCTGTTTGTTGGCCTTTATGAGTGTTTTCCAGTCGAGTCTGATGGGGCCACACTCTGTCTCCAAAGTCTATTTTTGGTGTCCCCGGGGATTTCATCACTTTGCTCCCCTGACTGCTCTGCTGCATGCCCTTCGTGTTTCGCCCAGTGTGATGGGGTCCGATTTGGCACAGTTCCCGCACTGTGTCTGCAGTGATGTTGTCCCACTATTATTGATATCTTTTTTGTGAATTGATTAAAATAATGTCTACTTAAAAAGGATCAGGGGTGGTTGAGGTGCTGAGTGGCAGTCTCAGGACACAAACTAGCTGCTAGGCGTCCCCCGAGCTTGGTCAGGGAGGACATCTATTGTCTGTTTGGCGTGCTTTGCTGCTCTCATCTTTGTTGTCCGTCACATACTACCCTCTCCTGGGAGCCTGGGCCTTGTTTCCCACTTCTCTGTGGTGGGCTCCCATGCCTCGTCTCAGAGGGGCTTGCCTCTGAGAGCCTGTTGCCACTCAGTGCTGCCCTTTGTTGTCTCACTAGGAGTGTTCTGTCTTCTGAGACAGGCCCTTCTAACAGCTAACGTGGGACTACGCGTCATGGATGGAACAATCTCTTTGAAATGTTCTCAATTTGTTAAAGGAAAAGAAAGGAAGGAAGTAAAAGAGAGAAGGAGGCTGGCACGGAGCGAGGAAGGAACGAGAAGGAGCAGGGAACAATTCTGCACATACCGTCTGCGGAGTAAATGTCAGGGCATCGGCGCTCTGGACTAGGATTGAACCATGGAGAAGGGGGGTGGGTTTTCTTGCTGCCACACACCTGAGGGGAAAACCCAGAGACGGCCTCGAGCAAGAGCAGAATCCCTTCATAAAGACAAGGTAAGAGGCAATAATGAGGAGATTACTCACACTGGCTTTATGGAAGATACAGGGTCTGTCAGGGCAAGCATCTTCAATTGCACATTTTAATAAAGATCGGGAAAAATGCCATCAGCACTGCCCATGACGTTGCCCTGCAATGAGCCTGTCTCATTCCGAGCAGACACAAAGGGACTTGGGAGAGGAGCAGAGGGTGAGGGTAAGATAAATACCTGGCCTGAGTACTAATGAGACATTCTGGCTCATGAACAGTTAAGAAAACACATATTTTCCTGGTTGGGGGGGGTTTATTCTGTACAGCCTCTGAGGATTAACGTCTGCTTTGAGAGACGTGCGTCCTTATGTGTGCTTGTATCTCTGCAGTAATTTGCTGGATAAATGGAGACTAAAAGGCAGGTCAGGCCACGCACATGGATGGAGAGACTCAGAGTGTTGCACTGGGAAGCGGATCACTGATCCCCTTCTCTGCAGCCTTCTGCACGCCATCACAGACCTCTGGGCAAGCTCTGACACTTCTGATCTTGTCTGAATGATCTTCTATGCTAGTGCACATCCTCTGAGAGTCAAAAGCTGAGAGGGATTAAAAGTGCAAAGTTGTATTTAGGGAACCGCCTGTGAGAGAGGAAGCAGGGAGGGAGCCCCCATTCTGACCCTCCAGGACGGTGATCGGGAAAGAAGGTTGGATTGACGTGTCCTAGACTGCCCGAGCGTCTCAGGAAGGTCTATGTAATGCCAACGTCTGCCATCAGAGAAGTCTTTCTTACCTAGAAACCGTCTATGTGAGGAGCGGGGAGGCAGGGGTGGGCGGGGGAGGGTTGTTTTTGGATAGGAGCAGCCTTTGGGCACTTACTGTCCTTGCACTTGGAAGTCTGTGAGGATTCTTCTTGTAACCACCACCACACCAGACTGGGGAAGGTGCCCTGTTTGGAGGTGGCGAGGGTGACGGGCCTGGGGCTGATGGAACAAGCCCCCTGGGTGGGTTGGACTGGGGGACCTGAGGTCGAGGACCAAAGAGTCGAGGTCTGAGAAAGGAGGTGGCCGGTCTGAGAACAGAGCAGAAAAGTTGGGAAGTGGTCTTCTGTGGAGGGAAACGTCATTTCAGCATGAGTGTTGAATGTTGGCATCTGTCTTTTTAATTACTTCAACTCAAGGGAAGCCCGATGCAAGTCTGTGTGGTGGTGTTAGGTGGGGAAGAAGGCAACAAGACACTGGAAGAATGTGTGGCCTGTCAAGATATGCCCCCTGTTGATCCATGAAAATAAAACCACGGCTCATTCCAAAGTCACAGCTATTGAGCTGTTTCCAACCCATGGAGACCCCACACAGCACAAAGTAGAATTGCAGTCCACGTGGTTTGCTTGGCTGTAATCTTTATTAAAGCATATCGCCAAGCCATGACACCTCTGAGGGGGTTCAAGCCTCCGAGCTTTTAGTTAATATTTGAGTGAAAAACATTTGCACCACTCAGGAACCTTACACACTTATTGAGGAGACTGTTCTTAACATTCTATGTGGTAAGCAGTCCAGAAGGGACTGAGGAGCCCCTGAGCCACTGAAAGCCACTCAGTGAGGATACAAGAGAAGATCTCTGCTTCAGAATGCAGCAGAAGGGGAGGACCCTTAGGGCTTGGGAAGGGGAAGAGGAGAGGGAGCGAGTGCTTGGGGGTAATCCAATGTGTTACCTGTATTATTTCACGTATTCCTCACTGCAGCGAGCTCTGGTAACCTACGGGCTGCTAAAATCAGGGCCAGCAATTCAAAACCACCAGCCTCTCCATAGGAGACAGATGCGGTGTTCAGTTCCTGTGAAGCCTTACGGTCTTGGAAGCTCCCAGGGGCCATTCTACTTTATCCTATAGGGTCGCCATGAGTTAAAATCGACTCAATGGCAGTGAATCCTCATGACATAACTCTGAGGGTAAAAAGCTAGGTCACAGTTGGCAGAGCAGAGTCTCAAATCCTAGTCTCCCCTTTTAGAACATTTGTGCTAAAAGTCCCTATTTTGTCCTAGAACCAGAGCAGTGGCTAAAGCTAGGTCAGGGAAGCCTGGATTTTTGTGGTGATGAGACACAGAATGAGCAGAAGCATGGAAAAGGTTCTTTGGGGACCCATGTCTCCATCTGGGTTTATCTACACATTGAACCTCATGCACGTGATGCGGACACTGACATTGAGAGCTCATGGGCATCTATTTCCAAACCGTGGCTCCATAAACAACGCTTTCTTAATGAGCCTTGGCAGCTCAACACCTTTGGTGTTTCTAGCCATTGAGACAGCCACGCCTACCCTCGCTGGATCCGGTTATAAAGTAAACTATGTTCTTTGAGAGCTGGTGCATACTGATGAGTTGACGGCCGGTTTGGGCCAACCCATAGACTCATAAAAACCAACAGGGTCTCAGGTACCCACACACTGGACCTCCAAACACTTGGATCAAAGGTGCTGAGGATTTGCTCACATTAAGGGTCCTGCTGCTCCCTTGAGGAGCAAGAAATCGAGATTTTTGTCTCCACAGTCACACTGCACGTCAAGAAGGTAAGGGGAGAAGCTCTATATTGTCTCTGTGGAGGAAAAAAAAAAACAGTAATTAAAGCTGGTGAGAATTGAGTCTTCTTTTTCCCACCTCAAATCTAGACTAACTTGTCCATCCACTTCTAGGATAAAGTGTGGTTTTAGTCACTAGCTCGATGCTCCTGAGCTGCAGCTTACACCGTGAATACTAGCGGGGAGCTGCATCCGGCCGTCTTTCTGCCATCAGCCAGCCTTGGAGTTGGAGGGACTGGCAGCCTCTGTGACTGTGTTGTGCTTGGTTCTAATGTTTACTTCTCTGAGTGACAGGAGAGATGGGGGTGGCTATGTCTCAGGTGGCCACCCTTTAAATCGCAGATAACCTTGCGGGACAGCTGGGTCTCTCGTGGGCCTTTTCCATATTTAAAGTCGAAGATGCTATGAGGTGCTTTGAGGTCTGATGAGAGCAAAGTTTATCTTGGGGAAAGTTTACTGTGAACATGACATTTCATTTGCCAGGAAGGAGGTGCCTTGATTTCATTGCTTCATGTAGAACTTTGTGGAATTTTGTACCATTCACAATGAATGGATTGGATTTCTCACCATTTGGTCAGTCCCTGTAGCGATAAATGACAAGTGTTCCTCTATAGGCTTATTTTAATGAGACTACTAATAAAAAAAGTTGAATAATAAAATAGCTTAAAAAATTTTAAAAAAAGTTTTTCAACAGTTTTATTGGCACATAATTTGCATCCCATTGGCATATAATTCACACTTCAATAGTTCAGTCACATAGAAAGGACTTGGACTGTCATCACTACAGTTTTAGAACACTTACTTCATTATTGTACTCATCCTTGGGCTCATCTAAACAGACTATGGGTTGAAGGGAAATGGGGGCCTATCTCGTCTGTTAGGTGAGCCGGAGAATGACTAGGCATGGGACTCCTTCTCCAAATAGATAGAGATCTTACAGATCCTGTGCAGTTACTCCAAAATAAGCTTGTCATTTGCAGCTGGAAACTACTAGGAAAGCAATTTAACAATTTTTTCTAGAGGTGGGCAATCCACATGGAGCAAAAGCCAGTGATTTCCGAAGGAAGACTGTGATAGGCAAATACTTAACAGACACCCCCCTATGTTGAGCACTCTGCTGTCTCCCCAGCCCGGGGCTGGACCTGTTTAGTCTGACTCTACACTGTTTTGCGTAAATGTACGGCAGTAACTCAACTTCAATTTTTCAAAGCATTATTGAGTAAGGTGCTTCAGGGTGCTATTCAAAAATCCCAAATTCACTGCCTTGCAGTCAATACTAACTCATAGCGACCATACAGGACAGGGTAGAACTGG